TATACCGGTCGAGGTCAATTCTATTCTCATTCTTCTCGTTATATACAGACCATTTAAAAGATGCATCTGTTACGAACATATTACGAGCTATGTTTCTTACGTTATATTATAATTCATTGATTTTATTGAATGAATTCATGTTAAATAAAAAAGTTATTTATAACTTGAGAGTAAAAAAGAAAGAACCTTAGAAATCTAATGTATATTCGTTTTTTTCTTCTTTTGAAAAAAAAATTTATTTGTTCTTTCTTATATTCTAGTTTTATTATTTAAACTATAAAAATAAATTCAAATGTCTACCGCGGCAACTCAGCCTCTCCGACAAGGAGATCCAGGTGACGATTCCACTCAACGTGGTTGTACATCATGGCTACTTATTTCAATTGTGGTTTTGACAACAACCACAGCATTTGTATTTGGTTGGGGTTTAGCTGCTCCCAATATGTACAATAAGTACACAGAGCCGTTTCTTAACAAACAGGATCCATGTAAAACTCATCCAGTACATAAATCAGAATTCAATCCTACAATAGAAGGTTCTATCGAATCAGACAACCAAAATGCAGCTGAAAGAACTCAATTCGATAATAGTGACGTAACTAGAGATGAAGATGGCAATGTTATTGTAAACGAACCTGCTGAGAAAAAGAAAGTTACTGAACCATTTAACTTTTTTGGCGAATTAATCAAAGGTATTCCACAAACGGTATTTCTTATTGGTGCATTTATTGGAGCTGTTACTGGACCATTTTGGGTGAATTTATTTGATCGTAAACGAACAGTTTTTGCTAATTACATATTTTGTTTTGCATCATCACTTTGTGTTTTATTGGCTTCTTATTTGGGTCAGCCATGGTTATATTATTTAAGTCGTCTTCTACTTGGTTATCAAGGTAAATAATAATTTTTATATAGAAAAAAAAGAAAAATTAAATTTTTATTTTTAGGCGGCATGGCATGTGTTGTTGTACCACCATTTATTGGAGAAATTTCATCACAAAAAGTTCGTGGCGCAGCTGGTGCTGCTTTTCAACTTGCATTAACAATTGGTATTCTTGTCGCACAAATTGTTGGCTTACCAATTATTGCTGGAACATGTCGAGCTTGGGGTTGGGGTCTTGCTATAGTATTTTTATTACCATTGGCTGGTATTTTTCTTCTAACACTTTTACCTAATTCACCAACACAAATGATTGGAAAATATAATGATGAAGAACAAGCTACAACTGATTTAAAAAAATTACGTGGAACAAATAATGTTCATGCTGATCTTGATATTATTCGAGAACAAACAAGACAAACAAGTGGAGGTAAACAAGATTCATTATCAATACCTCAAGTAATATTTATCAATAATAAATATATATTATTAAATAAAAAAAATTTATTTTATTTTATATTAGGTACTTGCATCAGCTCGCTATCGCTGGCCTATGTTAGTAACGGTTATTCTTCAATTATCACAAGCATTATCTGGTATTAATGCTGTTTTTTTCTATTCATCTAAAATGTTTGAAAAAGCTGGTATTCCTGAACATTTAATACCCTATGCTAATATTGGTACAGGTGCAATTAACGTAGCTGCAACAATTATATCAGTATTTTTAATTGATAAACTTGGCCGACGAGTATTAGTTATTTATCCAATGGCTGTTATGGTTTTTGTATTTGCTGCTCTTACAGCACTTGTTGAAGTTAATGAAACTCGAAATAGTGCAACATTGGGTGCTATTACCGTTGTATTTATATTGATATTTATTGTTTGTTTTGCTGTTGGTCTTGGTCCAATTCCATTTTTATTCAGCAGTGAAGTTTGCCGACCAGAAGCTCGAGATGCTGTTCAATCATTAGGTTTAGTTGCTAATTATTTGGGAAATATTCTTCTTTCATTATTTTTCCCTGCACTTAATTCAATTCTTGGTGGTTATGTATTTTTAATTTTTCTTGTACTTGTTTTACTTAATGTTGCCTTTCTTTGGTTCAAAATGCCTGAAACAAAAAATAAGTCAATTGAAGATGCTGAACGATTTTGGAAAATAACACAATCACTACCAACAAAAGAAGCCGCACCCTTATCACCAACCAATGCATAAAAGAATGGAAAATAAATATAACAAGATAATGTTCAATAGTGAACAGAATTTCTTTTGTCAGCTAAAGTGGTAGTTTGTAGTTTTTTATTTGCGTTTGCACTCTTTTTTCTTTCTTTCATCGTTTTGTTTTCGTTTTTTCTTTGCGAAGGTAATGAAGATGACAGTTCATAACAGTAACACATATAACAGTGCGTTTCTCTGTATATTAATTACATCTTCGTTTTCTTTATCCTCATTTTATTTTCAATGTTGTTTGTATCTTCTTTTCTTTTTTTTTCTTTACTCCTTATTTTTCATTTCAAAGTATCATGTCCGAAACACAAAATATATTAACTAAAATCACATGCAGCTTTTCTATTGTGATTTATCGTTTTCTAACAAATAGAAACAAAACGGATAATATCTATTGTATTTAGTATTAATCTTTCATCGAATGGAGCGATTGTTATTGCTAAAGAACAATCCGAAGGACAAGGTAGTTAAAGGCAAACTTATGAGATAATCATGTTTATGTATTCTCTCATTTGTTTATAGGACGTGGAAGTAATCAATGGACATCACCTCTAGGCTGTGCTTTGTTTACTATCTATTTTGACATTCATTTACAAAGTTTATTAGGACAACGTTTATCTCTATTGCAACTTTTGGCTAGTGTTGCTGTTTTACAAGCAATTGAGAGAAAACCAGAGTATAAAGTATAGAAAAAAAAAAATTGTTTCCGAAGATAATTTATCAAAAATCCTTTTTTTTCAGTCATTAAATATTCAAATTAAATGGCCTAATGATATATTTATAGGAAATGATTTTGCTAAATTAGGTGGAATTTTAGCAACATCATCAATTTGTGGTAATTATGCGTCAATTACTCTTGGTACATCATCTTGTTCATGAAGAAAAAAAAACGAGTATCTAAATCAATTCTTCTTTTTTCTCCTCTCTAGGTCTTGGTGTTAATATATCCAATTCTGAACCATCTGTTTGTTTAAATGATGCAATTGATCAACAAAAGCCTACATTAACATTAGATCATTTTACAATTGAAGAATTTATTGGTCGAACAGTTGGTTATCTTCAACAATGGGTATCACAATTATCTCAATCAAATATTCTTCAAGCTACTATAGCTATACATAATTTCTATCAATTCTATGAGTCCCATTGGATGCATCAGTAAGATATATTTTTTTATGTATATTATTATCATCATCATCATCATCTTTTATTTATAGAAATAAAGATGTGTTTGTTGATAAATGGCAAGAAAAAGTAACTATTGTTGGCATTGATCCATATGGCTTTTTAAGAGTTCGAAAATCATCAAATGGTGAAATTGTAA